ATTAGTTCTACCCTACTTTCTAAGTGCATTAAGTAAATAAGTACATCAATGTTTTGTGACATTCAGACGTTAACTCTAATGGCTGTTGTATAGATACGCCAATAGGGAGGAAATTCTGTAGCTTCAGGGTGGTACACCTCTATCAATTATTCCTGATATTTTTATTAAATTGTTTATGCACAGGGTATATTATGTTTTTCTTCCTTGTACAGAGTCACACATATAGAAAATATTAACTTTAATATTTATACAAGCAGAATTTAAATGTATGCACAGCAGAAAGGTCTTTTGCTTTTCAGCAGTCAGCCATCAAATCAATTTTTTACAATCTTCATTCAGTACTGTATTTTAATCAATGTTAGATAAATAAGGGTCTTGCTTTTTTGAATTACAGCTCCAGATTAAAATGAGCAATGATTGCAATGATTTCTTACTAGTTAATCAGCATAATCACTGTTTGTAGATAAATTCAGAGTATATCTTCCAGCATTTTGTGTGCTCTGATTTTCTAAAACAAATAATAATCCCTTTAATAATTATCACACATCTTAGTTCTTTGAGGAGATCAATTACAAAGTGTCAAATAACTGATTTTCAACCCAACAATCTATGAGTGCCCTTCCCTGAAAGGGGAAAGTGGAATACTCCTCCTTGTACCATGGGTTGAAATACAAGCTTTACCAAATGCCCTGCCTAACTTTTGCAAGCTTTGAGATTGCAGCAAACTGACTCTGCCTTGGGCATTTATTTGCATCTATTCTCTTTTCAGCACTGCTGTACTGCTGGTCTACCAACCAGCCATTCCTTGTTGCCACCAACCAAACTCTATTTCTCTATTTCTTTTGCTCTTTGTGATTTTTTAGAGATCTTTATTAGTTACTTCTTTAACGTATGGAAAGGTGGTTTTTTTTCTTTTCAAAGTGAAAGTCTCTGAAGACTCTAAGTTAATCAATTTTCTCTCTACACTATGTACAAGGGCCTGAGAAGAACAGCAGCCTAAGGAAGAGCTTAGTTGCACATAGTCCCCACCTCTAAGGATTTCAAAAGTCAAGTCAGACTGAAGGAATAAGAGCAACTTTCTTCTTCTATCCCTAAAACACTAACCCATAAAACAGAGACCCCTACAACAAGAAATGCAACTTTAATACAAGTATAGCAGACAACTTTCTTAGTCCTATAGCTGTTCAGAAGGTTTTCTGGAGCCCAGAGGAAAAAGAGCAAGAAACAAGGTGCACAGTCTTGCATCTAAAACAAAACCACTGCAGTCCTACAGTATCAGAGCAGAGCACTTTTGCCAGCCTGAGGCTTTAAAAATTCAAAAGTCAAGTTATCACAAAGCATGAGAATATGTTAAAATAGCAGTTGGAAGAAAAAGCAAGCTAACCCAGCTGAGTTATTTTTATTCTCTTTCTGGATTTGAGACTTTTAAGTACACTTGGATCACATTTCAAGTCTTTTCTCTTTCTGTGATGACTAAAAACTTAATCTCAGTCAGATGAAAGCAGCATAATTGAAATCATGTGTAATTACTTAACTGCCTGCATTTAAACTTTTTAAAAACATATAAGAATAACCACAACCTACTGCCTTGGCTGCTGAAAAGTAGACAAAAGCAGCACTTGCTTCCATCCTTATCAATTTTACTGCCTCTCTTTTTGCTTTGCTTTAGTGGTCACAGAACCCAGCAGCAGGGCTTCTAGCAGCATCAGTGCAAGTGAGATATCCTACAGCTGGATGGCTTTAGTAATATCAGCTGTGTGCTGTCCCTTATAAGCTGCCAAAACTGTGCTTCTGATTGTGAGCAGAAAGTGTTTTTTCAGGTCTGGGTTTGTTTGTTTTAATTAACCAGAGGGGAGATGCACAGAAGAATTCACATCACTTGAAGTCTTTGCATTTCTTGCTTCAGTAGATGAGATAAATCAAGATCTCTCATACTGTTTGTGTGCTTAGCTGCATGTTGTTTTCCATACTGAGTACAGGCTTAATAGAAAAGAATCACAGAAACTGATAATGCAGCATTTTGTGAATGGTAAAATCTCCATTAACCCTGAGTGGGGGGGAAAAAAAAGAATAAAGAAAAAAAAAAACCAACAACCAGCGAATGCTTAAGTAACAAATGCCACCAAGTGCTCATTTTCTGAACAACTCTTTCCAGCTGAACTAAAGAGGAATGCTCTTCACAACCATAATCCTCAGGAAACAAACTCACAAAATCTTCCCATTTATTGTTACTTATCCACAGGCAGAGTAATTATCAGCTGGCTAGATTGCAGCCTGCAGAAGATAATGTCCCAATACTGAGAAAAATTATCTCATTGCTTCAAAATCCACTCAGAGAAGCTCTTGCTATAAAAGGTAAAGTTGCATGATTTAAGCTTGATATTATTATTTCTGTCACTGTCATATCAAGTATTCTGAACATAAGAAATATGAAGCAAGCTTTTGTTTTAAGTTTTGCTGTACCTCATTTTACAGCTTTGTGCATAACTGTATGGATGCTCTCTGCTTGGTAACTGTAAAGCCCTATAGCTTTATTCTGACAACATGCATGTGGAAGATGGTAGAAAAAATAAAGACCAAAAGTTTATAAAGCAGTCTTATTAAACATATCTAAGTTAAGATACTAAATAAAACTTTTTGATTATAACAACTATTTTAAACCATCTCCCTTTTTCTTCCTCTCTTTTATTTTTGGCTGGAGTTCTCTGATGACAGTTTGGGAACAAATCAGAATCCACTCTGGGAGTCTGCCTAGAAGCACTGCATTTCTGCACGATTCAGCTATACTTCATAGAAGGTGGAGTATCAAAGCAACGAGAGTGGCATTACATTTCCTGCTCTCTGACAGCAAGGATGAAGTAAGGGAGATAAATATATACTTGAAAGAAAATGATTTTGTAAGAAAGGCAAGGGCCCTAAAGCTGTAATTCTAAGCAAGATAAAGTGCCTCTGTATTAAACCTTAATTTAAATCGGAATAATGCAAGAAAGCTAAAAAGATAAGAGCTTGCTACAATTATATAACGTAGGTTGATATATGAACTACAAAATAAAGCATCAACATTTTGTTGAACATGCAACCGAAGTGGTTAATGTAGTTACTTACAACTATAGGTGGTATGACCATATCACATGCAGCTTCTGCAGTTACTTTCCTTCCTGCTCATCTCTAGTCATTGATTTTTACTTTTTTTTTTTTTTTCTGCTTCATGGAGGACCAAACATTATGTCTTTTATTTTGTTTAAAGTTATTCCAATAATGATCCAGTGAATCAAGGTACAAACACTGCGTCCCTCTTGTTTCTTTATGAAGAATAACAGACACATCTGATTTGCAGAGCAAAGGGCAGCTTTTCCAGGATAATGTAAAATTCATGATTTATTACTATTTCTTAAGATATTTTTCTTCTCTGTCTCTCTTTTTTTTAAAAATTTAAAATTATAGCTAACATGTCTGGCTCAATGTCTGCGTTTTAAGATTCTTCTTAGTAAATAAAGCATACAGTTTGCTTCTATACATGTCTCATTTCCAGATTTTCTCGTCTTTGTCCCACTCCCCCAGGCTTCAGAGTACCCATCTCCATGGCAACACTTGATAAGGTTGGTGGGTGGTGTTATCACAGCAGGCTTCCACACAGAAGGTCTCAGCCATATGGATTATTTATGAACTTGCATGACAGCACCAGACCCACTGAAACACTTCTTGAGCGAGGTTTTTCTACTCTCAAGCCAGTGATTCAAAGCAGGGTATCCTCACTGCAGGCAGCACCCATGAGTAATGAGCTGGGGCAAAGCATCCCAAAGGTGGTCACTCACCCATCCCCAAAAGCTGCCTTAGCACTGCCTGCAAGTTTCTGTTACTCCATACGAGCACCCACTGGCATGTGCCACAAACTGTAACCTGGTTGTACATGCCAAGCAGTGAACTTGAAAATCTGCAGCTTCTGAACAGAATACCGTCTCAGATATCCCACAAGTAAATAGCTGATATGACTTACACTGCTCTTGAGTGTTGCTGATGCAGATAAGCTGCAGTAGATTTATATTTCTGAGTTGGTTCTTGGAAAAAAAAACTAGCAGTTTGGCTTAGATATATTTTCATCATCTGATTTTTTCTAAATACTCGGTAAATTTTTTAGTTAAAGCTGTTGCATTTAGACTGTATTCATGCAAATAACCCATAACTTTTTTTTTTTTTTTTAAAGGGTCCCTAAACCAGCAGCCTATTTCTTTAAAACAACATTGTTAGTACATGCGCATTTTTTGAGCAAAGCATCCAGGGCTATGAGGGCCTCTCACATGCATCCACTTCATCCAATTATTTTTAGGAGATTAGCAAGCTCAGTCTTAGAACCCAGTAGATTTTTTTCTAGGAAACAAAAACATTGTTTCAGTTCTCAAATAAACATTCCTGTTTTGTTTTGTTTTGTTTTGTTTTGTTTTGTTTTTAACATAGATGATACCCAAGATTTAACAGGTGTGATTTCTCTTCCTAGTTGTATTTATTATGTACACATCTGCATCTTAATTGATCGTGATAGGCTTCCTTTATGATCAGTAAGAGGTAGGAATTTTTGAGGCACAACTGATCAGATTTATTGTCAAAACCTACTAAATATTTTTATGAATTGTACTCTAAGCACCATAAAAACCACAAAGAATTGACAGGGCAGTTTGGCCAGCTCTTTTTAGAGGAAGGGTTCAGGTGCTTTAATGAGGGCTTCAGATCAGCCAGTGAAGATGTTACAAACTTCACCCCATTTTTCCTTCTTTCTAATATGCAGTCAGACACTACATAAGTTAAAATGTTCCAAATTAGAAGTGCTCTGTGGTTTATATTACTGAAGCTGACTGTTCATCTGAGGACGTCTTGCAGTTATGATAATCAATTGGAAGAGACACTAAGAAAAGATGTTTGATGTTAGGACAGGAAAACAGAAAAATAAAGAACATCCACAGGAGAAGAAATCACAGAATGTAGGAACTACATTAAAGTTCAACCTTGACTGAAGCTTTGTCATTCCTCTTCCTTGGATACAGATTTGTAGCTGTTGATCGAGAGAGAAGACGTAGATATTTAAGATATTGCTGAAGAGACTCGGCCAAGTTCACGTCATTTTCCAGATGAGATTTTCTTTCATTATCTTCATTCTGTTCCAAAATCCTGCACAGCAAAAGCAAATAAAATATCATCAGTCTGCATAACATACAGCATGCCTGACTTTTTTGGGTCCCTGTTTATACAGCAAAACACTGGAATTAGTTCTATTCAGGAGTTCTTAACCAAAAACAAAACAAAACAAAACAAAACAGTTTTAAAGTGCCTTTAAACCACAAATACACAGAAAATTCGATCCTTAAAAAAAAAAAAAAAAAAAAAAAAAAAAAGCTCGAAAAACAGGCATTACTAACAATTTATTGCATGAATCAAAGTTAATGATCCAAGAGTAAATCAAATAAATGCCTACATGGAGGCAGTCACATTAGTCACACTTAGAAGAAATTTGTAAAAAAAGAAAAAAGAAAAAATAGAAAGAAACTATGCATGACTAAAATGCATCCCAAAAAAGATATGGGATGGTTCTGAGATTTCAAACATTTGCTACATGATAACAAGAAACAGCACAGTTTTGTCTACATGTAATTTACAGAATACATGTACTCCTGGACTAAGCAAGTCAGCTTTAGCAAAAAGTTTAACAAGGAAATACTGAGATGGAAGAAAGCATCTCTTGTGATCTTCTCATGCACTTGGGAATCACAGAATAACTGTGTTTCCTGACTCTTTTAGACAGAACTCACTGATGTTTGTGAAGAAGAGCTAAAAAGGTGATTAAACAACAGCAGAGTAGAAGCTCTTACACAAGACTGTGTGTAGAGTGCTGTGTGCAGTGAATCTGAATTATTACCACCTCTCCTCATCTATCTCAGCAACACATCAATGATTATGATAATTTAAATGTCAACACCAGCCACTATTTCCCTCCATGTGCAAAACAGCAGAGGGAGGATTCTCAGTCTGCTTCCTTGCCTGTGACTGGCATATTGTTCACAGAATCGTTTGAGTTGGAAGGGATCTTTAAAAGTTATCTGGTCCAACTCCTCTACAGTGAACCAGGACATTTACAGGTCCATCAGGTGCTCAGAGCCCTGTACAGCCTGATCTTGAATGTCTCCAGGGATGGGGCACCCACCACCTCTCTGGGCAGCCTGTGCCAGTGCTTGTTTTGAGGGAGGTATCAGCATTTCCTACTCATGCTTACACACATCTTCAGTGAAGAACAATTCCAGGTGGAGCAGCTCTCCAGCTCAGGAAGACAAGGCATCATTTCACTCTCAACACTTCCAGGCCACTGTAAGCTCATGTCACGGTGCATATTTAGGGACACAGCTTGAAAGACTACCATTATCTCATTTTCCAAATCTTGGGTATAATTATATTACTTTATGCATAGTAGAAGCAGCATTTCCTTCAATGCCCGTAGCTGTATCTAACTCATGTCTTGACTAATTTCATACCGATAAATAAAATTAATGATCTAATTTGCTGCGGTAGCACTGCAACCAATAGTTCTCACAGGGTTGCTCACTTTGAAGAAGCAGAAAAAAAGCCTCCACCTCCATCCACCAAGGGGCAGATCCGAAGTGAGGAAAATTTCATTTTTCTGCTTCAGCAAGGGATCTGTGTGCTTCAGAGATGCTTCGTGGAGCGGGAGGCCTGGATCTCACTTGCCCCCGTCTGGTGTGAGTCGGTCTCCCCAGGCTGAGAGCACAGCAAGTCCTCAGCAACGGGACCAGGGCTGTGGAAGCCTTTCTACACCTTTCTATTTTCTAAGCCTGGAGGTCTCCTCACACCTACAACAATTTACACAACTCTGAGACTCTGAGTGCCTGTGAACCCCCATGCTCAATTATACTGTCACCATCCTCTCCTCTCCCCACAATATACTGAATTCACTGCAAGAAAGGACAGCCTGCATTGCCCTTCCTGTGTTCCCATGCTGAGGGCCTCCAAAGCCACTTTGTGAAACTTCAAGATTGTGCAACTCCGATTCTACCAGCTACCCATCAAGCACTCCACTGCTAAGAAAACGAAGGTAGGCTGCCTGGAACATTACAGAGAGCTTGTAAGTCTTGCTTTCTGCTCATTCTGTTCATATTTTTCTTTTATTCCAGAGCTCTAAATTCTGCATTATGGCAGAGGGTGGATGCACAGGTAAAATTAGCCAACTACTTTTGAACTTTAAGCCAGGCTAAAACTGTTCTGCACTTTTAGAAAGAGCTGGGCAGTATGCTTTCTGCTTCAATAGAGATGAACTAATCCAAAGAGGTTCTCATCACAGAAGGTATCCCAGTTTAAAGCACTCATCTTTCATTCATCATTTAATTCTACCATCTCCTTTCTTCGTTAGCTTTGAAAAGGAAGGGAAAATGGTAATAGTAGACCAAATTCTGCCCTGAGGATTTCCACTAGAGCTAATGGGAACTGAATGCTCAGATAAAAGACAATTTTTAGGTTAGCTTTTCAAAGTATTATTTACACTATGTAATTGCTCTCACCGGTGCTAAATGCAAAATCTGAGATGTACATTTCTTAATTTTTCTTATGGAGATAGTAATTGATCTCAAATTATGTTTCAATTCCCTATTAGATGTAATATTTTATATTACAAACTGAAAAATATCAATTAAAATATAAAAGGCTAACAAAGGATTACATTTCAGTTGAAGATAACTTTAATAAAACCCTACAAGTACATCTGAAAGATTTGTTAAAATCTCTGTAGTTCAGCAGTATATCACTGTTGTTCATCTTGTTAACACAGAAAGTCAAACACATTACATAAGCTATTATTGAAACTGAATTAAAATATTTCCTTTAAATTTAACAAAATGATATTGGAAAATGGATGAAAGTGTAACATCTAAAAGCACCTAGTGAGTAAGAGAAATGACTGCCAGTTGAGTTCTTGTGCACTTATTTGGGAGTATTTTCAGTTTTAACTTGTTCTGAAAAAAGACTTTACATTCAAAGAACCATAATGTATAAAGACAATAACCTAAGTAATTATTTATCCACAGAAATAATCATACAGTTACTACAAAAAACAGCACTTTGGGAGCTTCTTCATGGAAATACATGAATCTCTGCACTGCGGATATTAAGTTTTTCTAGAATGTTCTCTATTAATAGATATCACAATTTAGAATAAAGAGATTCACCTTTTAAAATGCTATGAGAATCTTATTACTGACTTGATGGTTTTATTATAGAAATAATGCTGTACCTCACTTTATACATCGAAGCTTGTTGGAAACGTTTGTGGTTTTGCCTAATTGCACCGATGAACACAACTGACATTTATTCCCTGTGTGCAGAATGGATTTCTTTTCCTTTATCTTGGATCCTCTTTTAAGAACTTTTTTTTTTTTTTGAAATTTAATAAGGGCCCAGGAAATGCCATGCACACTCCAGTTAGCCACCAAAGAACAAACTTTCATCTAGAAATCAAGCTCCCCATTTCAGGGCTTTTTAAAGATGAAATCCATGTCTTCTAAAAGATTTCATACGCAGTAATTTAGCCTAAGTCAATTTACCTTTCAAGTGTCTGGGTCTATCTTCTTGCTCTCACTAACTCTGTGGGGATTAATGACTCATTAATATGACTTCATATTGTCTTATTACACACTTTACTCTTAATAAAAGGTCTTCGTGCCATAATGTTTCTTTGATAATCAGATACCTGCACTAAGTTGCTTTTTTAATTATTTAATAATTATCTGATAATCCTTTAGCAAGTATATGCGCACAGTGGGCTTAAAGCAAATTTTATTAGAAACTACAAGACGGGAAAAAGTTCCTACTGTTCTCTGACCTACAGAATACATTGCAAATGGACAACCAGAAAAATCAATTAACGTTTTAAACTGTTGGCACAGAAGATAATGCTTTCAGAGGCACAGCTTGGTAACTTCAGAAAATCTATCCACAACGGGAACTTGCTGGAATGCATTTGAAAGTCTGATGTACCTGAAGTGCCCGAAGTGTCAGTACACTTTTTTTTTTTTTTCATGTATATCTCTAGTTAAAAATACAAAATGGCTCTAATCCGATTCCAACAGGAACTCCTAAAAGTGATCATCTGTTCCTAATCTAAACCTACATTGTTTCTCACGTATCTTCTTATATATTTTATTTTTGTGCAAGTATGAATTGGGAACACTGCAGAATGCTGATTTGATTTTGCAGAAATTTGGCATATTTTATCCTGATTGCATGAATAAAAGTTCTAGATATACTCATTATATATAAAAAAATATCCTACAAGATCTTCAAATTTATTTCTGATAGCACACAGAGTAATGCACACAGTAATGGCATTTAGAGCACCTAAGCAATGAGAACAGATTTTGGATACTACCATGTGAAGTATGATAGATCGTCTGTTTTTACAAGTTAAGCTTCTATCTTACTGCACTCCTGAAGTGTATGATATTGTGATTATAAGATATGTTTCTGTTTCTTTTATACTGAATAGATTGGAATATGTGCAAAGCACTGGGTCAGATTATGAATTAAATCAAAACAAACAGAGACAAAACAAAACTGAAAAACTGCTTCCTGTGAAAGAGCTGCTGTACAACTCTGCTTTTGAAAGCCAGTCTTAAGCACAGCTGGCTGAACTGAGAGTAGACAGTGCATGAACAGACAGAAGACCTGATGTTTGGATTTCAGAAACCTAAACTAACAACAGAAGACCTTATTATTTTCTTAACCTGATGATAATTAGAAGAAAAGGGCTGAGAGTTTTAATCCATTCTATCCACTATTTTCCTACCACAAGTGCTGTTGTTTTCTATTTGTCACACACAGAGTGGTTTTAGCAATGCATTTAACTCAGCTTCAAATTCCCATCATTTGCCAAGACTCCTCAAAGCCTACTATGCAAAAATACCATAGAATACTTACCTTCCTGTATCAGATGCTTCAGCTGCAAAGATGTCAGAGTGTCTGTTGTGGATTTTGTGGATGTTTGAGAGTTCCTGACCAATGACATGCTGCGTATAGTCATCTTGCCAGGTAAAACCTGAAAAAAGATAGACAAACAAACAAACAAAAAGAAGTCACTGTTTAGGAACTTGAAAGTTTGTCAAGAATATGTCCTATATAAGAAAGAAAAAAAAAAAAAGCAGCTTTGTTAAACATGAATCCAAGAGTAAACTAGAGACTCCTCTCTCCTGTAAGAAATTTTGTTAATCAAGCATGATAGCATGATAGAAAGACAGAAGATAACACAATGAGATTTTGAAAGGCTTTATTTTTACACAACTCTAGCTACTTACAGTTTTTATATACATAAAAAAGAGTTCTTTGGGGATAGCTATTGCAAAGAGATATTTCAATCGCTGGCCATTAAAAGACAAAGCATCTTAATTCTGAATGCTAGTATCCATCAAATAGTTGTTTCCCAGGGGTGATTTGTTCACTTCTCCCACCACACTGACCCTTCTCAGCTCTCTCCATTAAAGTACACTTTTAGGTTACTAAGGAGCTCGTATTGCAGTGGAAAAAATGTTTTGAGTTTTAATATAAAACATGTGGAGGTCAATTTATTTTATCTTTATATTAAATGTTGTGACAAAGAACTTTACAACAAGAGGGAAGTACAACTGCGAAGGCAAATTCCAGTAATTACTCATTAATTACATGCACTGCCAATCTCATGGTAATTATACTTAGAATAATGATATAATTATAAACATAATTGTTATCCGATTTGTAGATTTTAGATGTTACAGTAATACTTTAGTTCATAGAACTTGCCTGTGTAATTATCTGCAATTATCTAATAACTAAATATCGCATAATTGCAGTGAATTTCTTTTACACCACGCACTATAAAACACCACAAAACCCCCAAATGAATATCGATGAAAGCTCCAGATATGGTGATCTTGCTAATATCTTCCTAAAAGAAAGTACCTAAAGAAAAATCCACCCTAGCTGCAGAGGGGAAGAGACACATCTGCCTGCTAGAACCAGCCTTGGAAGAGGCATTTCTGGTTCAGTTCTACTTCAGGCACTCACTATAAATTTCTGCTCCACTGGCAGTCAAGGACTCAGGACCATCAGTCTCAGCAGAACCCAGAACTTGGTCACCTCACTTGTTGGATGAGTGCTTTATCCAGCAAGCTCTTCAAAAAGAGTTGTATTCTTTACACTCTTACGGGGTATGAAGGTTGAGTTCATTGTCTGTTTATGTAGGCCTGGATTTTACAAAGAAGTTTAAATAGGAGGTTCATTCATTCTGCCAAAGCAGACAGTTCTGAGCATGCAGAAGTATAAATAACTGTAACATTTATCAAATTTTCAGCTTCAGTAGGAGATACATAAAGAAGCTGGGTGTAAGACAGGCCTAAGGAGTATTGCTGCTGTCCAGAATTTGGGCAAATTTTAGAGGAGAAAACTTCCAGTTTTGGAAAAAATATAGGTGTACTGCAGCATTAACTTCTTTTTCTTTTTTTTTTTCTTTTTTTTCTTTCCCACTGATGAAAATAATAATAAACAATCTGGAACCCATGTAAATATGCATGGGCTTCCACAAACAAAAAATCCTCTTTGATGCCTCTTTTTAAATAAAAATGTTACCCAAGTTTATTGAGAAAAAACTTCACCTGAAATCATGGTAGATGTTAATGGGTACAGTAGATGATTCCAGACCACTGGGAGAAGGAAGAATCTCTGAAATATTTTTAGATCTGATTCATCCTTTTCAAATGCAAATCTCACTTTTTCAGATGTGCCATAGAAGTAGATGGACTCAAATCAGTCTAAGGCTGCTCAGAACAAGTTCTTATGTGAATACACAAAAATGAGTCACGTAGCACATACAATTATTTTAGTGTAGAGGTACTGAAATTATTTTTGCAGGGAGGTTATATATATGTGTTTGTTCAAGTTTACATCACTGTTGTCTAGTATTACACATTTTTAGTGGTGCTATAAACTCGCGTGGCAGAAAGAACTGTGATAACATTCAAGTTTAGAAGTGCAACAAAGAAGTTTGGGTGAAATACACATTTCAATAAATAATTAGCATATCTATCAAACCACTAATTTATGAACCTTGTTTCCAAAATCACTGCAATTTCCCTTTCCAATTCCACTCCAACACTGGCCCTATTAAATGCTAACAATTATTCAGTAATTACTGTAAACTTTAAAGAAAAACACACAGAATCTCTCTCAAGAGTTTTGTTCAAATTAAAGCATGAAAGAGCTCATCTCTGCAGCATCTGCATAAAGACAGGAAATTAATCTCTCTCAGTCCCGAGCAATGTATTTGGGAGCAGACAGAGGTGTCATTAGTTAGGTATGTCTTTAACCTCCACAAAATTGTTTTTGTAAAAAAGCAAAACAAACCATTGTGATCCCAGGACTCAATGGCCACGTGTATTTCGTTTGATTGGATGTATTTTCTTTCTCCTGCTGCACAGTTTTAAGATACAGTACTTAATATTGACAAAAAACCACACAGCTGTGGCATTAAAGGAGTGGCCAATAAGTGAAAGAAAAACAGAGCTTAAGAAAGTAGAATTAAGGGAATACGCTTTCTCAGATGTATCTCCCAGCATTTCTAACTCAGGTAAGAGATAGAATGCATCGATGAAAATGCAAATTTTATCTAGTTCCAGGAAATCTCCCCTCTGCAATTAGTTAGCATTGCTGTTGCTTATGTAATTGCCTCCAGAACTGCAATGTGTTCAAAGCCAACCTTACACCAATCACTTCCCACCATTGTTTCAGTTCCAAAAAAACATCTCTCCCACACACTGAGCTCAACAGAATAGCACATTGAAGAACTCTAACACCACACTGACAGCTGCAATCAGAATTAAAGTTGAGAAGGAGCATATGACGCCGGAAGGCGATTTCCTGTTCCCTTTGTCTCCCATGTCACACCTAGCACCAGCGTCCCACTCTCCACCCAATTACAGCAATTTGTCTCCGCTGGCTGAGCAGGATCACAGGCTGCTCTTGTACACACATTACTTCCATGTCAGTAGCGGGGAGCAACACAGGGACACCCAGCCTGGTGAGCCCTGTGCTGCTGCAGGTCTGCCCAGAGCTCGCACTTCCCAGCCCTGGGTTCCCATCAACAAGCAAAGCCAATGCACAAACAGAAGGAGGCTGACGAACCCCGAAGTGATACAGACAAAAGAATTGCTCTTGGCTGAATAGCACTGGGTTGTGAGTCCTCATGAAAAAACAAACAAACAAACAAACAAAAAACTAGAGGTACAAATCTTCCCCACAAGAAGTAATGCTTCATCTTATTGACAGTCAAAATTTTAATTATTGCTTTGGGTTTTAAATTAAAAATCAAAGAGTCACAGAATCACAGAACAGGGGTTGGAAGAGACCTCAAAGAGCATCAGGCTCCAACACCCTGCCATGGGCAGAGTTGTCCACCACTACTACTACTGCTTTCACAAATGCACATTGGCAAAGAAAATATTAGGTTCTGTCTCCAAAAGTAGAATGATTTCACATCAATTTCATTTTTAACTTGCTTCATTGGTTTTGCCACACCAAATTAATTTAAAATAATCAGCATCCAAATATATATTTTCTTTTCTTGGCTGTTCATTTTTTCTATGTATTGGCACCCTTACTTTGGTTTTTCATCTTACAGAAATCTGATGCCTTTGCAGATATGTCTGACCACATCTCTAATGCATGCAAATTAATTAGCAACTGTTGAAATCTTCTGCTACTACTCTCTCTTAATTTGCTCTAACTCAGAATCATTGGCACAAACAATTTTTATTCCTCTGAATGCCCAAGCAGGAAAACTACAGCTTTTAACTTTTCAAAGGCAGTGTGGTGTACATCAGCAGAGCCCAAATTAGGTCCTTTGCAACACTAACAGTTCTCAGTGCCTGAGGATTTGTGCAAACCTTCCCCAGCAGGCTGGGAAGGATGCTCAGGCTTCACAGGGATCTGTGGGCTCTTTCACTGAGACCTGTGCGTGACAGCCTAATGCAGGGCCCTTCCTGCTCTTATGCCACTTGAAATCCAAAATGATTAGTTCTGCATCAATATTTTGGCAACAAAATGACTTTTACATATCAAGTCCATTCAGAGTGACAGGAGATTATTATATATTGGCAGAAACCTATATACTCAAGCCTGATCCTTCTTTGTCAGGAAAATTCTCGTATAAAAATGCCAAAAAACCTCAGAAGTATTCACACTTGAAGCCATAAAGAATTACTATTTTTCAGTTGTGACATTAATTTTTTTCCACTTTTTGGTCTTATTATTCATTTTGTCCCTGTATAGTCTACAATAAAATAGGTTTTTCTCTGAGCTACCTTCAACTGCTTCTTCATTTCAGCCAGGAAATTCTCAGTTGTGAAGCTTAGATAGTTTCATCCCCCATGCCATGTGTTGCAAACCATTAATGCCTATCTGAGCTGTCAGAATACCTGCAGAACTTGGAATGATTGGCTTTCTTCCCTAACTTTCACAACAGGCAGTTCAACATATAGACGTGGCTTTCTGCAGGTTGCTCTTCCACATCTTCTAGAGGAGCTGCACTTCTTTGCATCCCACACCTCCCTTTTCAGATCTCAAGAACAGGCCCAGTAATGTCCACTTTTGAATACTAAGGTAAAATTGTGGCTTTCATGCTGAGTGTATATCAAAACCTGTTTTTTCAAGTAGTGTTTTTTCTACCTAAGAATGTAACCAAAAGATAAAATCTTCATGTTTCCAGTTACAGAAAAGAAAACTAGAACTTCTTCCATGAGCAATTCTGTAAAACAACTGACAATGGCAGGTTAATGGCAAAAATAATAATGGAGAAATTAAATCCACCCCTGCACAGTAAAGGCCACAGTTAGCTTTCACTATAAACCGGTGTGCCACAGCATCTAACTCCCCTGTATCTTTGGTTTGGCATATTTATTTATTCTGAAAATTGTGACTCAAGATGGTTTCTGTGAAAGCAGAAGAAAATCTGGCAGCACAGTTTTGTGTTACATTTCCATGAGAATTTGCTCTATTTTTTTCTTGCTCGGG